TCTATGAACTGTAAGCCCAGCTTTCTGATCAAGTTACTTTACAAACACCTTGTATAAAATCTCTCTGAGGTTTACTTCATGGTATTCAACGGCTAGGGCTGCCATAACAAAATACTACAGACTGGATGACTTAAATAACAGAAATTTATTTCTCACAATCTGGAGACTGGAAGTTGAAGGTCAAAGTGTAAACAGATTTGGTTTCTCTGGAGGCCCTTCTCCTTGGCTTGCAGATGGATGTCATCTCTGTGACCTAACATGGCCTTTTCCCTGCATAGAAGGTGAAAGAGAGAGATCGGGGGTCTCTTCCTGTTATAAGGACACCAGTCCTATTGGATTAGGACCCCACCTTTATAAATGTAGCCCTAATTACCTCCTTAAAGGCCCCATTTTCTTTTTTTTCTTTTTTTTTGAGTTGGAGTCTCACACTTGCCCAGGCTGGAGTGCAGTGGCACACTCACAGTCACCGCATCCTCAACCTACTGGTCTCAGGTGATCCTTCCGCCTCAGCCTTCCAAGTAGCTGGAACTACAGGCATGCTCCACCACACCCAGCTAATTTTTTGATTTATTATAGAGATGAGGTCTCATGCAGTTGCCCAGATTGGTCTCGAACTCGGGGACTCAGGCAATCCTTTCACCTCAGCTTCCCAAAGTGCTGGGATTATCAGCGTGAGCCACTGCACCTGGCCAAAAGGCCCCATTTTCAAATGCAGTCACATTTGGAGTTAGGGCTTCAACCTATGAATTTTGGGAACGGAGGGCATAATTCAGTCCATAATAGGTTAGTAGCTAAGAGTTATCTGTGGAGGTGAGGTGCAAAAAGTGGTGTGGCTTGACACATCAGATGCTGAAGAGTCTACACCATTGTATGGATTTTTTCTTTTTAAAAATGAGACAGGAGGCATTGAAGCGTTTTGAGCAGTCAGTCACTATCTGGTTCCACACAGGCCTCTATTTTGAGAATACTGGAGAACAAAGGCTAAAGCAAAGATACTAGTCAAGAGACCACTGTAGTAATCCAAGCAAGAAATGTTGCCTTGGACCAAGCTGGGAGTGATAGAGGTGGTAAAAAGTGGTAAGATATTTATTTTAAAATATAGAATAGATAGAATTTGCTGATAGATTAGATAAGTCATATGAGGAAAAGAGAAGCAAAAGGTTGGCTGCAAAATCTTTTTTTTTTTTTGAGTTAGAATATCATTCTTGTTTCCCAGGCTGGAGTGCAGTGGCATGCTCATGGCCACCGCGGCTTACCTGCTGGGCTTAGGTGATCTTTCTGCCTCAGTCTTCCAAGTAGCTGGGACTAGAGACACACACCACCATGCCCGACTAGTTTTTGTTATTTATTGTAGAGTCGAGGTATCACCAAGTTGCCCAGGCTGGTCTTGAACCCCCAGGCTCAGGCAATCCTCTTGCCTCGGCCTCCCAAAGTGCTGGGATTACAGGCTGAGCCATCTTGCCCAACCAGAATTTTTTGCCTGAGTAGAAGACTGAGGAAGAGCAACTTTGGTGGAGACAGCCCAGTTTTGGCTTTGTAGAGATCTTAGTGGCATCATATTGTTTTGTATTTTTTATTTTTTAGCAGCATATACTCAACATCCTTCCATTCAGTTCTAGGTACCGTCCCATGTCAGTACATACAGCTATATACTACAGGTATCTTTAGTTATTTTATTTGAAAAACACATGTGCACCAAACATTGCTGTCTTTCCTTTATAAGTATTAACTCGCTTACTTCTAATAATAATCAACTCTGATGTACTGTTATTCCTCATTTGCAAGTAAGGAAACTGAGGCCCAGAGTTTGGTTAATTTACCCAAAGTAGTTTAGCAAGGAAGTAGCAAAGCCTCTGCATTGTATTCTATTCATATGACTATCATAATTCACTTAATCTCCTAATGACAAATTTGCATATCTATTTTCATATCTTTGGGCACTGGTGCAAGTGTCTAGGAAAAGTAAGACTAGCTATACTTCATCAAAGGGTATACTATTACTTATTTAATAGAGATCACCAACATAACCTTTAAAAGAGTAAATCCAACTTATCCTCCCATGGGCCCATCTTTTTTTCTCTTTTTATAATTCTTCAACTTGGTAACATTTTTGCTATCTCCCTGTGAATGCTGAAGTCAGAGCAGCACAACTCGTTAGTAACGGTTCTGAATAATTTGGTTAAATCCTGTGCAACATATTGGACTCATAACAGTTGGAGAACATAAGGAAGAATGAGTACTTAAGCCAAATAAAGTGCCTGTGTGAGTGGATACACACTGTGTTTGGAATGGGGTGAGGTGGGGCTGTTCAGGCATAAATTCATCAGGTCACTAACTTCTCCCCAGAGGTAGCCACTGTCCTGACTTCTAACACTTCAGATTAGTTTTGTATGTCTTTGAACTTTGTGTTCTTTTGTTTATGCTTCTTTCTTTCAACATCATGTTTGTGCAATTGATCCATGATGTTGTGTGTAACAGTAATTTGTTCATTCACATTGTATCATATTCTAGTATATGAATATTTACCCATCCTGCTTTTGATGGACATCGGGCTGTTTTTAGATTGTGCTTCTTTGAACATTGTTTTAAATGTCTTTGGGTAGACATATCTATGCACTTTCTAGTATTGCATTGTTTTGCCATAGGGTTGGCAAACATTCAACTTTATTAAATCTTGCTGAACAGTTTTCAAATTGGGCATACCAATATGACTCCCACCAGCAGTGTGTGAAAGTTCCAGTTGTTCCACTTCCACACTAGCTATTGGTGTATTGTGTTTTCCACTTTAGCCACTCTTATGGGTGGTGTTGCATTTTGGTTTTAATGTACATCTCCTTGATAATTAATAAAATTGGGTCCATATTTTGCTTGGCAGTTTGATGCCCTTGTGTCAAAGTATCTGTGATTGGATTATTTCCATGAGAGCAGAGGAAATTTTTATTTGAAGCGTACTCCTCCCTGCAAATAAAATCTTAAATTAAACACTAATATACAAAACAGGTTAAAAGGAGTATTTCTTAAGAGGCAGTATAGCATGGTAATTAAGAACACGGATTCAAGAGCTAGACTTTGTTAGGAATTCCTGTTTTGCCGTTTTCTACCTGTGTGACTTTGGACAAGTTACTTAACTCCTGTTTGCCTCAGTTTCCTCACCTCTAAAATAAATGTAATAATAATACTTTCATCATAAGGTTAATGTCAGGCTCAGTTAAGTGAGTTTGTATGCAGTTCTTAGGACAGTGCAGGGTACGTATAAGCACTATATCATGTAAGCTGCTGTTGGTAGTGGTGGTGATGGTGATGTATATTTATGAATTTACATCAAGTTAGCTAACAAGAAAAATGAGACTTTCCTATTGAACACAGATTTGAAATTGAGGGTTATGAATGATAGTTGGGTTTTATTATAGCCTCAGCATTCAAGTTTCTGTTTTTGGTTGCATGTTGACAAGGAAATACTGATTCACAGAGATGAACAGTTGAAGATATGATTTGTCCAGTAGTCACAGGATCCCTTAAGCTTTTAGATCAGTTTAACTGACAAGAAATTAGAAAATGTTTATTTTGAAAGTATTACTAAGTATCTATAATTTGCTTGGATTTCCTGTTTTTAAATAAAAATCATAGAAACAGCACCAACAATGATTATGGTCAAAGTGTCTGTTACCACACACATCTGCATAACAGGGTTGCTTCTGATAGCTTTCAGCCACTGGATGAGATGAGCAGCAGGTGTGCTCGCCGCTGGCCTGGGGTAATGAGGTGTGTTCCACAGGGACTGTAGTGTGTTCACTCTCTGGTACAAATGTAATGAGCCACCAAATAGCCTTGAATTAGAAGCAAATCAAAACAAAAAGAGCTACAGTTTTCCTAATTCACATATTTTCAAGGTATCCAAACGAATTATGGCAGGTTAAGGTACATAAACCCAAAATGAGACTCCTGGCAGTACAAGTAATGTTTTGTGTGGTGTGTGGTGTGTTAACATCAGGCATATGATACATTCACGTGTGTCTGTCAGAGTATTAGTTCATAGCAGTTCCTTCTACAGCTCTTTGCCTCAGTTGCAAGCTGTAGATGACAGCCTTGTGTGCTTGCAGCTAGCTGACCCTAACACCAGGAGAACATCTCCAGCTGTGCCAAATCTTGCAGTGAGACTTAAATGAGTGTCTGGCAGGCTCCTCTGGCTCCGGTTCCACTTCTCCTCACCAGCCTGTCTTCCCCTGCTCCTTGGCCAGATGGGCTCCTCCAGGCCGGCCAGTCTTCCCTCTGCCTCACCACCAGCGTGGTTTTATGTTCCTTCTCTGTGGTAACAGTGTCTGGAATGTGCCCATTACCATCTGTCTTGAGTACTGTAATGTCTTTGTGGTTCTGCTTGGACTCCACCTCCTCTCTGAGTCATTCCCTCCTGTATCAGCTACTCTTTCCTGTGTAATCCCGTCCTGACATTCTGTATCTCAGATCTAAAACATTTGTTTAATATCCTAGAGTTGTACTGTGTGAGCACTACTCCAAGTCAGTGCCACTCACAAAATCCACCGGCAGAGGGAGCTAAATAAAAGAAGATGAGTCCCTGAAATGGAGACGACTGAAGCAGAAAATGTTCTTAGAAACAATGACACTTTCAGCAACTGCCAGTACTGAAAAAGAGCTTGAGTAGTGTTAGAAATCCTTGATTTTGGGCCCTCCTCCCAGGTTAAAACTTATATGAGGTGATTTGTAAGTGTTTTCGAAAGGATTAATTCTGTATCACGCTAAAAACCTTTTTAGGGAGATGACCTGATAAACAGACAGATACTATTAGGGAACCTATCTGATGTTTCCCCCTTCTGAAAGTTTTATTTATTAAGGACATGAAATGAAGTCACTGCTTTGTGAAAAGCACTGAATCCTAAAGTTGCTAAGGATCATGGATAGCCCATTACAGGGTTTAAAGATGGACTTTTTCAAGTAAATTTCTTATATTTTGTTTTGATTACGTATATGTATCTTAATTTCAGTTAGCAGACTTGAAGAAAGAGAAGCAGAACTGAAGAAGGAGTATAATGCATTACATCAAAGACACACTGAGGTGGGTTTCTAGGTCGTTCTTACCATACTTAGACAAAGAAGTGAAACTTAGAAAGTATGTCTTAAGTTTTTTTTAATCAGAATAATTCTTGGGGATTATTTCCAGAAAATGTTAAATTGCATGTGGTATTTACCTAGGAACCAAATATCAACTTTTCTTTTTAACTGGAATTAACTTTCCATGTGGTGAATTAGTATGCCATAGAATAGAATAATGTAATTATTTGAGGCAGTTCCAGTCTGTTTCCTTCACTGGCTAAGCAAAAACTTATGCGATCTAAGATGAAAGAATTCATTTATTTTGTTGCCAGTTTGGAAAGAATGGATTGGTAAGTTATGGTAAGGATTGCTACATTTGTTATCCAGTCTAAAGGATTTTTTTATGCAGTTGGGTGTGGTGGCTCACGCCTGTCATCCCAGCACTTTGGGAGGCAGAGGCGAGAGGATCACCTGAGCCCAGTCTTCAAGACCAACCTGGGCAACTTGACTGAGAACTCATCTTTATGATAAATAAAAAAAATTAGCCAGATGACATGGTGGCACGCGCCTGCAGTTCTAGCTACTTGGGAGGCTGAGGCCGAAGGATCACCTGAGCCCGGTAGGTCAAGGCTGTGGTGGCCGTGAGCAGCGTGCCACTGCATTCCAGCCTGTGCGACAGAGTGAGCCTCCGACTCAAAATAAAAAAATTTTTAAAAAAGGGACTTTTTTGCATTAAACTCATAACAACATAAACACAAATTACAATGTGTTAATTGAAAATGACTCTAAGCTGAGCTCGGTGGTTCAGCCTGTAATCCCGTGCCTTTGGGAGGCTGAGGTGAGTGGATTGCCTGAGCCCGTGGGTTTGAGACTCGCCTGGGCAACTTGGCGAGACCTCGTCTCTACAATTAAAAAAAAAAAAAAAAAAAATTAGCCGGGCGTGGTAGTGCGCACCTGTAGTTCCAGCTACTTGGAAGGCTGAGGCGGAAGGATCGCCAGAGCCCAGCAGGTCGAGGCTGCGGTGGCCGGAAGTGGCCACTGCACTCCAGTCTGGGTGACAGAGTGAGACTCCAACTTAAAAAAAAAAAAAGAAAAAGAAAATGACTCTAAAACAGGTTTTTTGCATGAGTTTTCAGTATTTTAAATGAACAATTCTAGCATATCTCTCCAAAGCAAATCAGAAAATGTGTTTAAGGGTTTTTAAATCTTTTTATGATTCTCTGTCAGCCTTTTTAATGTTGCATTTGTTTCTATTTCCTTAATTTGAAAATTGTTTTTGTGAATCATGGTCAGTGTTGGGTTCACATACTCCAATAAAAAGAATTTTCTTAGATCCATGCAATATTTGTTACATGAAAAAAATAATTCCTTTCTTTTTTCCCTTTCTAGTTCTGTCTCCCTTGATACAGGTGGTTCCAGTCTGAGCTCACCACCCCCTTTTTTATTCATTGGTGTGATCTCTTACCCTGCTCCTAGTAGAGTCTTACGTTATTGCTTTTAAGAAACATAAAACCCCACCGCATTCAGTTTCATTTGTTTTGGAATAATGGGGTTAAAACTTTCTTGGAGGAGAGCTTAGAATTTCTTCCTGACTGGTGGCCCTGACACTTGAGATTTGATTATTACGATGTTAGCTTAATAGCCATGCCCAAAGCATGAGTGTCACAGAATGAACATCCAGTAGTACAGGGAAAGGTTTGGCCATACAGAGATGGAGCCATGAGCTCTGGGAAGACAGGAGCAGCTTACACAGCAGCCTTTTCCAGGTATAAGAGTACCCATATTTTAAACAAGATGACACTTGATGGATATTAAGGTTGTTAAAAGCCTATTATTGGTTCTTTTTATACCATTCATTCTCTTTTCCTTTCATTTCTTTTTCTAAATTTTTTTTGGAGAGACAGGGTCTTGCTCTGTCACCTAGGCTGGGATGCAGTGGTGCAGTCATGGCTCAGTGCTGCCTCAAACTCCTGTGCTTAAGCGATCTCCCCCCTGAACACCCCCCAACCAGCTGGAACTATAGGCATGCACCATCACACCCAGATAATTTTTAAATTTTTTGTAGAGACAGGGTCTTACTTGGTTTTCTAGGCTGGTTTTGAACTGACTTCAAGTGATTTTACTGCCTTGGCCTCCCAGGTTGCTGGGATTACAGGTGTGAGCCACAGTGCCTGGTCTCTTCTTTTCTTTTTAGTGCTCAGATTCTGACAGACATTCATTTCCATGCCTAAACAATGCCCTGTACATAGTGTTTACTCAAGTAGTGCTTGTCAGTGCTGATAATTACACATATATTTGAGGGAGTGCTTTTACGCTGTAAGTAATCCATTGTGATAAATAATACTTATGTTTTGTCACTGAAGCTCTAACTTTTGTAATAATTGAAGATTATTAAATTCTGATGTGTTAAGTTTGAAGTGTGTATAAAATATATACATTCTTGAAAAATAACTATACAGTGAAATTTTATATTTTTCCTGTGTATTTATTTTGTATGTAAATGTGAAGATATGTTCCTACAAAAAAAATCCTGACATTAATTTCAAATGAAAATATTTCATAATTTTTCTGCCTATTTCTATTCCTTCAGGGAAGGATAGTCCAGGAAGGAAAAAGGCCTCAGGAAAATCTTAATTACTTAGAGAGCTGGGCCTGTTCAGTAGCCAAGGCAAATTCCCCATCATGGGATCCCCTCCCTCAGTCACCAGCAGCTTATATTCTCTGACCTGATAGGCTTCCTTTATTTTGTTTTGCCTCAAAGAAGATTTATGGATCACAAATGTGGCTGCTTTGAAATGTAGGTCTGTTCTACTCTAGCCCACAATTTTTTCTATTTATACATCTTTCTAGAGATGCCATTCAATTAGCAATTATAAATAGCTACCTAAAGTCAGAGAAGTAACTATCCTTTAAACATAAACTCCAGAAACTTTCAGGGAAAGGAAGTCTGAATGGATTTAGCCTTAACCTTTTCACTATTACTTCCAAAGAAGGTAACATCTTTTACTAGTTGTTTATCAAACACATTGTTTGCTGCTTAAGGGAAACATACTATGGGTCTTTTTATAATGTGAGTTGTTATTCTCTAATCAAATCCCAAGGTCAAGCACTCAAACCACACCATGTACATCTCCTAGGCTAATCACTCCAATCCCCAGCCCTTTACAATCCTGGTAATTCTTGGAGGATCTCACATCAGGGAGTGTTGAAATACATTCTTGTCTCTCCCTCTCACTAAACTCTGTCATCCAATCCCATTTTACAGATTGAGGTTTAGAAAGAGACTACTAGGAGGCCAGGCAGTGACTCACGCCTATAATCCCAGCACTTTGGGATGCCAAGGTGAGAGGATTGTCTGAGCTCATGGGTTCAAGACCAACCTGAGCAACTTGGCTAGACCTCATCTCTACAATAAATAAAAAAATTAGCCAGGCGCGGTGGTGCATACCTGTAGTTCCAGCTACTTGGAAGGCTGAGGTGGAAGGATCACCTAAGCCTAGCAGGTCAAGGCTGTGGTGGCAGTGAGTGTGTCACTGCACTCCAGCCTTGGTGAAAGAGTGAGACTCCAACTTTAAAAAGAAAGAGAGACTACGAAGTGATTTGCCCCAAATCCCATGCCCTGGATTTGAGGCCAGGTTTGTTGCATTCTAGTGCCTGAACTTTTCATAACACTTTCAGTTTCTGTGTGCTAAATGCACTAGACATTTTTCTGTGCTTCTTTCCTTTATGCCATCTCAACAACTTTAAGATTACTGGCTGTTTGGATATAGGTATGTGATTTGGGGGCAGCATATGGAAAGATTCAAGGCCAGAATGATGAAAGGGGTCCATGCCAATTGTCTCCAAAATGTCCCTATTGCCTTGTCAGCCTCTGCTGTGAAGCTATCTTGGGGTAGGGTGGAGTTGGAAAATCCAAACCAGGATTTTCCAGACAGTGTGCTTGGGATCCTTCTTGATGACTCCAATTGTTTGTTGCTGAATAGACTCCTGAGTGACTGTGAATTAATACTCATACCTGAGAAAATCAAGAATTACAATTTTGAGACCATGAGGGACAGACCTGGGGGGACCCAAGGGTAGATGATCTGAAGCAGGCCCTGTTTTACTCTCTCACCTTTCTTTTCTATCTGGCAGCACTGGATAATGCTGCCCCCTCCCACTTGCTTTTTTTTTCTTTTTAAAGATGTGGGGAGCAGGGCTCGGTGGCTCAACCTGTAATCCCGCGCCTTTGGGAGGCTGAGGTGAGTGGATTGCCTGAGCCCATGGGTTCAAGACCTGCCTGGACAACTTGGCGAGACCTCGTCTCTACAATAAATCAAAAAATGAGCCGGGCGTGGTAGTTCCAGCTACTTGCAAGGCTGAGGCGGAAGGATGGCCGGAGGCGGAAGGATGGCCGGAGCCCAGTAGGTCGAGGCTGCGGTGGCCGGGAGCAGCCACTACACTCCAGTCTGGGCGACAGAGTGAGATTCCAACTCAAAAAAATAAATAAATAAAATAAAGATGTGGGGTATAATTCAGGGTTAGATATACAAATGTTCATTATGCAGGTACCCTTGTTGATGAGGTGTCACTTTTTTTGTATTTATTTATTTATTTGAGTCAGAGTCTCACTCTGTCACCCAGGCTGGAGTGCAATGGCACGTTCACAGCCACTGCACCCTCAACCTGCTGGGTTCAGGCAATCCTTCCACCTCAACCTTCCAGGTAGCTAGAACTACAAGCACAAGCCACTATGCATGGCTGATTTTTTGATTTTTTGGTTTGTTATAGAGACGAGGTCTCGCCATGTTGCCCAGACTGGTCTGGAATTCGTGCGCTCAGGCAGTCCTCTCACCTCTGCTTCCCAAAGTGCTGGGATTATAGACGTGAGACCCCATGCCTGGTTCCTTTTTTTGTTTTTAAATTGAACTTTACTGTGAAGTCTTATTAAAATTGGAATTTTTTGTACAATTTATTTTTTTCTACTTTTCTGTGCATTTATAGAATATAGTGCATATTCTTTTATTTCAGATGTCAGGAAATGCTTTAGGCTGTGGGGTTTTCTTGTGGGTGTGACGAAGAAAGGACAATGGGCTCATGCTAGCCCTGGGAATTAAGTTAAAGGGCAGATACAGCCTGAGTCCTATAATGCTTAACTACTCAGATGACTAAGTCAAGTGACCTGAATTCTGGCCCCAAAGCCAATGACATTTGAAAAGTTTTTTTTTTTCTTTTGAGTTGGAGTCTCACTCTGTCGCCCAAACCTGAGTGCAGTAGCCACTCCTGGCCACCGCAGCCTTGACCTGCTGAGCTCCAGCGATCCTTCTGCCTCAGCCTTGCAAGTAGCTGGAACTACAGGCATGCGCTACCACGCCTGGCTAATTTTTTATTTATTGTAGAGATGAGGTCTCGCCAAGTTGCCCAGGCGAGTCTCAAACCCCCAGGCTCAGACAGTCCACTCACCTCAGCCTCCCAAAAGTGCGGGATTACAGGCTGAGCCACCGAGCCTGGCTGAAAAGTTAATCATCAACTAGACAATCAATTTGGGCAGTTAGATTTTACCCATGAAATTATGATATTGTGAGGATTAAATGGAAAAAAATGGCTGTAAATGCACTGACTGACATGTAGTTGATGCTTAATAAATGTTAGCTCCCGTTTTGTTATTGTTCTCTCCTATTAAGTGTTAATTTGGTTGGTTAGAACCAACTTCAACATATAAACTATTTTGGAATGTCAGAATACTATATCTGTAATTACTTGATCAGTTATTTAGAGAAGGTTTAGAATTCAACATTTTTCTAACATTTTATTTTATTTTATTATTTTTTGATTTGGACTCACACTCTGTCTCCCAGGCTGGAATGCAGTGGCACCTTCATAGCTGCTGCAGCCTTGACCTGTTTTAGGCTGTCCTTCTGCCTCAGCCTTCCAAGTAGCTAGGACTACAGGTGTGCATCACCACACCCGACTACTTTTTTGATTTGTTGTAGGGATGAAGTCTCACCATGTTGCCCAGTCTAGTCTCAAACTCTTGGGCTCAGGCAGTCCTCTTGCCTCTGCCTCCCAAAGTGCTGGGATTATAGACGCGAGCCACCATGCCTGGACTAAAATTTTAATTTATAAAAAAACTTAAGTATTGAAAACAATAGAGAATCAATATATAGAATGGCAGTTTGTAGGAGAACTGATTCTATCTTTGTAGTCTGTTTATAACTATTTTTCTCTGTTGAATATATAGATTAATTACTATAAAAACAATCTGGGAAGCGTGTTTTCTTTATCTGAATGCTTAAAGAAACTAGGCTCTTCAATTTGAACAAATCAATCCCATATGATTACTATTCAATATGTAGGAATTTAACTTAGGCTTTCTAAAACCTTTTGAAAATTTAAATTGGGCTGGACTCAGTGGCTCAGCCTGTAATCCCAGCATTTTGGGAGGCTGAGGCGAGTGAATTGCCTGTGCCCCTGGGTTCAAGACCAGCCCAGGCAACTTGGCGAGACCTCGTCTCTATAATAAATAAAAAATTAACCAGGCATGATAGCCCATACCTGTAGTTCTGGTTACATGGAAGGCTGAGGCAGAAGGATCGCCAGAGCCCAGCAGGTCAACACTGGGGTGGCCGTGAGTGTGCCACTGCACTCTAGCCTGGGCGTGAGTGAGACTCCAACTCAAAAAAAGAAAAAAAAAAATTAAATTGACATTAATAAGACCCAACAGTCACTGTTAATGTTACTTGCAGTTTAATTTTTTCCTGAAAATTCTTCCTGATACAAAAAGAAAGCACTTAATTATTATTTCTGACTTGCTGGCACAAAGACAAAAAATGCTGTATTTCTGCACAACTGTTATTTAAGTGGTGGTAAAAACCTATACATTTAAAATAAAAAGTATATAAATTAAAAATTTTTAATATATCAATGTGAGCCTATATTCAGTTTCTTTTGCTGATAGCATTTGTAACATTTTTTGATTGAACTAGTCTTAATTGGGGACCAGTCTGATTAGTTTGTTTTATTTCGTGAATCAGAGTCTGCTTTGTTTTTGTTTGACAATAAATAACACAAAGTTACTTTACATTTCTTAGTTTTTGTACATGTCAGTAAAATTTTCACAGTAGCCGGGCTCGGTAGCTCAGCCTGTAATCCTGTGCTTTGGGAGGCTGAGGTGAGTGGATTGTCTGAGCCCACAGGTTCGAGACCCGCCTGGGCAACTTGGCCAGACCTCATCTCTACAATAAATCAAAAAATAAGCCAGGCTTGGTAGCACGTGCCTGTAGTTGCAGCTACTTGGAAGGCTGAGGTGGAAGGATCGCCGGAGCCCAGCAGGTCAAGGCTGCGGTGGCCGGGAGCGGCCACTGCACTCCAGTCTGGGCGACAGAGTGAGACTCCAACTCAAAAAAAAAAAAGAATTTTTTGACAGTTTATGTAAACTTGACGGTTTATATTCTTGAAGTCTTAACTTTCATATTCAGCTTGTCTATCATATGGTTCCTTATCTAAACCTCAAAAAAAAAGTTCTGATTTTTTTCATTTGTATTAGTTTGCTGTTTTTATCATAGATGATTATATATTAGGTAATGATATCTGTAAAGCAGCAGTCAAACAAAGGGGATAATATTTTAGCATTCTTTCAACTAAATACAAAACTAAGAGACAAACATCTTGGTATTAAATTATTTAATTAAATTGAAAATGATTGATCTTTACTCTGTTAAACATTGCTTTTAAAATGGAAAGGGCCAGGCTTGGTGGCTCAGCCTGTAATCTCGTGCTTTGGGAGGCTGAGGTGAGTGGATTGCCTGAGCCCGTGGGTTCGAGACCCGCCTGGGCAACTTGGCAAGACCTCATCTCTACAATATATAAAAAAATTAGCTGGGCATGGTAGTGTGCGCCTGTAGTTCCAGCTACTTGGAAGGCTGAGGCAGGAGGATCGCTGGAGTCCAGCAGGTCAAGGCTGCAGTGGCCAGGAGCGGCCACTGCTCTCCAGTCTGGGCGACAGAAGTGAGACTCAAAAAAAAATAAAAATAAAAATAAAATAAAATAAAATAAAATGGAAAGGATAAGTACATAAGAATATTGTTTCTTCTCAGGTTTCAATTAATTTCTTTAACATTTCCCATTTTAGTGAATGGGTTTCTCAAATGCTATTTATTATTTTTAACCAATAGGCCCTTATCGTCTCCTCCCCAATTTGTGCTATTTATGTCAATATTATTTAATAGCATCAGCATAGCGTTTTACTATGCTGAGCAAGATAGTGACTACTTTTATGGACAGCAGCGTCCTTAAATGCAAGCATTTACATATTTCTTTGCCATTAAACTTTTTTCATTCCTTAATATTCTTTTACATGGAACTGTGTAGCCTAATAAATGAGAAAACTGTACAAAAATGTTTTCCTTTTATTACACTGTTTTTATTCCAGGTATTAGTCTTAAATTTTGTTTATTTTTTTCTTTCTTTAAAATAGATGATCCATAATTATATGGAACACTTAGAAAGAACAAAACTTCATCAGCTCTCAGGGAGTGATCAACTAGAATCCACAGCTTACAGTAGAATTAGGTAAGCTTTGTTATACATTTTACATTGAGAAAAAAGTAAAATAAACAATCTGTTTGTTTCTGTTTTTCTCTGTTCTTTAATCCTGTAACAATAGTTAGACTAATTTAAAAAGCTCTCCACTGTGGTTGGAATGCTACAGGAGAGAATAACATAGAAAAATAGAAACTGCCTCACTATTAAAAAGGTAAATTGTGGTTCATGTCACATGAGCAGCCTATCGAGGTATTTGGTTTGTTTCCTGATTTTGATGAAGATTAAACTAGGTTTCAAATGTTCTAATATGTGGGAATGCTGAAATTTATCGGTTTAAAGTCTTTTTTTGCTAGAGAGAGGCATGTTTGAAAGGGTTAGCTAGCCATCTGTTTGATGTAGGAGTGTGAATAAATTATGTAGATCCCTAGGCATTGTAGCCAATGAGCTAAGCCAGAACTCTTAGTGGAGGGGAACATAGTTAATAGGCTGCCTGTCGCTCTGGGTTGCTGCATAAATGCTGGGAGCAGCAGCTCTATGGTTATGAGGTGGGGAGAGCGGGATGACGTCACCGCTTGGGAGCTGCTGCAGGATGGAGTGGAAAGCTGCTGCTGATGGCATTGTTTTTGTGGCAGCAGCTGAATGACAGATCCTCACTACAAAGATACCCCTTTGGCCCCCGTGTAGGCCTCCTGCTTTGGGTGTTTCACCATGCCAGCACAGCGCCATGAGTCCTGGATGCATGCTGCTGTTTGTGTTTGGCTTTGTTGGCGGGGCGGTGGTCATTAATTCGGCTATCTTAGTATCTCTCTCTGTTTTGCTGCTTGTGCACTTTTCTATTTCTACCGGTGTGCCAGCTCTGACGCAGAACCTACCAAGGATACTCAGGTACTCCCGTCTCTCTTGGAAACCCCTGCTTAAATTTTAAAATTTAAAAATTTCTTAAATTTGTAGCTCCATGAGTCTGCTTTGTAACCATTTCTATTGCAGATTGAAACAATGGAAAATGGCCTGAAGCTAGGATTTCGATTCTTAATTTATAGTAATTTATAGGCCATCACTTAGGATATGGCTTTGTGTTTGGAAACTACTGATCAAAGAAAAGGATTTTCATATTGTACTTACACATCAAGTACAAGGTCAATGTGGTCTTGTTTTAAGCAGAATGTTCAAAGAGTAAAAGGAGAGTCAGAGTAGAGCCCGGGTCCAAGTTTATACAACCTCTGCCTCAGCTTCTGAGCATTTTGGGCAAATATCTTTTATGCTGGGACGTGCAGTCGATTAGATACAGGCCATAGGTTTATTTTGTTTTAATTATCCTTTGACTGGTGGCGGTTCAAGTATCATTTTGCAATTTTTGATAACAGCTCACGGTAACCGACAGTTTAAATATTTTCCTCCTAAAGCAAAATATATTTTAAAGTGAAAGAATTTAAACCTTTTAGGGTGAGGCATGCACTTCCCCCCATTATTTACACATCAAAGTTGTGAAAGCTTTACAAAGCCTTTTCACTATTGTTTTGTCAGATGGTGCCCTTTCTCTTCTTTGTAGTCTTGGGTGACAAATATCCGTGCCTGCTTGTGGGGGTAGTCATTAATCTCTGTAGCTTTACTGTTGCTCACTCTACTTCTACCCTATAAAAGCCATCTTCTACATTTTAGAGGCTTAAGGATTGGGGTTCTTTTGTTTTCTACCCCATCAAACTAAAACTATCTGATTTGTTTAGATTTCTGCTTTGTTCATGGTTTTAAATGAAGATTCATAGTATGTAGTTTTTACTGGTTAAAATAAATGTTTTTGACAAAAATAGTTAAATCCTAATTGTGGATGTAGATAAATTTAGAAGAATTAAAGTAGTAAATTCCCTCAATTTGTTCCTTTTTATTCATGGTTCCGTTCATGTTCAATATTATTTTAAGGCCCAGAAATTAAATTTTATCTATGGTTTAAAACTAGCTTTCTTGATTTATAAAATTTGGGAACAATCTTATTACTTGTGTGTTTTTTAGTACATGAAAGATTTGTCCATGTGTATATGTATGTTCAGGCTTTGAAGACATTAAAAGTACCTGAGCTCAAGATGTAGTGTATTAAAATATGGCAAATGTGAAGGGGCTGTTGAGATTTAGGTTCCTTTTGAGAAGGCAGTGCCATGCTAAGCTGTGCGGGGCTGTGCAAGTGGGCACGAGGCTTTGGAGTTGGATGCCTGGGGGCAAACGCTCTGCAGCACATGGCCGGAGGACCTTTGGCAAGTTGCTTAATCTCTCTGTGCCTGAGTTTTCTCCTCTGAAGGGATTTACCCCATTGGGTGGTTTGAAAAATCAAGAGAGACTATTTTGTATTGAACTACAGTTGTAAGATATATGGTAAGTTACACAAGTAAATATTTTTCATAGTCACCTATATGTACCCCATTTTTAGCACAACTGTGTTAGCTCCAGCTATTTTATTGATAAAATACCCTATGTTTGAATTTTAAGTTTCTTGACACAAAGGCTGTTACTGATAATGATTGGATAAAGATATTAAAGTCTTCAATATTAAGATTAAATTGTCAAAGTTGGTAGTTCCAAGTAGGAAGTTCCAAAGAGGGCACATGGGCCTTGGAGTTGAACACATCTGGCCTTGAATCCCAACTCTGCCAATTGCTAGTGCCTAACGTCTCTGGCATCACTTTTCCTGCTCTGAAAACTGGGATCATATTCCCTATTTCCTGAAAAGTATTAAATGAGATAATGTGAATAAATCATGTAGCTCAGTACCTGCTCCATGACTGATGTTCAACCAATGTTATTTTTAAAAACTGCACTTTATATATAAAGTAGGTTTTACTAATTAGTTTTATTAAATATGGTTATTGCCAAAAAGCTATTTCAAAAATGTATTTGCAAAATTATTTATACACATAGACTAACATTTAAATAACCAACTCAAAAATGAATATATAGAACTAAGGCAATTAAAAAAAAACAAGGATTCTGGTAGTTGGTGTAGCTTTTTTAGACAGTAACAGCAGATGTTTTCATTTGGGGGTTTAAATCTGCCACTTGATATTTTTCCAGGTGTATCCCATTCTTTGTTTTGTTTTGTTTTTTTCTTCTGTAAATTTTACCAAAGCATTTAATATGTAAAGCACCAAATATGCATACCAACAATAGTTTACCTTTCAGAATTTCTTTTCGAAAGTAGGATTCTCATGAACTTGCCTAATTACATGTCCTTCTCTTCATTCCCCTAATGTAATTTATTAGTAAAATAAGGAGAGAAGAGTGTGTAGTGATATTATTTTCTAGTGTTGAAACATAACCCAGAACATCACTGACCCACTTGACAGATAGCTAGCTGTTGGTCTCTGAAGAGAAGTTCCCTCCTTACAGAGCAGATTCTGAATGATTGATACAAGCAAAATGAAGACATGGGAATACTAATGTAATTTTGGATTATAGATTTAGATGACTGCGATAGGAAAATGAAACTTGAGTTCATACAAGACTCCTTCCCCCATTAGTTTTAACTTTTTTCAGTATCTGATATGTGTGAAAATGAATGTGTTGTCATTCAGGTGGCGTGATAATTCTCAGTACTAGCTTGATTTCTGTTAACACTGTGATGAACTCTCATCGAGTCTATTGACTTTGCATTCTGAGATAGAGAGCTTTCTATTACACTCAACTGATTACATTCCCAGGCAACAGCAGCTTTATATTTTTATGAAAGTAAATAGAAGTCAATTAGTAGTTCTAGACTCCTTGGGTTTTTAGATACCAAAACCTGTTCCCCCCAAATTGGAGGATGAACATCAGATTAACAAATTTTGTTTTGTAAAGTATGGACATGAAAAAAAAATCCATCTACTAGTCATTGTCACTATCATTTGATGAAAGGACATTTGAAGATCAAAGAAGCAGAAAAAATGTAGTTTGAGATAAGGGTCAGTTATTCTCAAGGAAGAACAGGTTCTGTGTTATATGGAAAACATTGGTGCTTACCAGCATTTGGCAATAACTGGTGTAAACAGAATAGCTGACTAGTCACTTAAATTTTTGTCCTTTGGTTGTTCTGGCAGTTCATAGTCACAGACTTAGGTTTGGTATTAGAATTTAGTCTCAAGCCAGGCTCGGTGGCTCAGCCTGTAATCCCGTGCCTTTGGGAGGCTGAGGTAAGTGGATTGCCTGAGCCCGCGGGTTCGTGACCCGCCTGGGCAGCAAGACCTCGTCTCTACAATAAAAATCAAAAAATCAGCCAGGCATGGTAGCGTGCGCCTGTAATTCTGGCTACTCGGAAGGCTGAGGTGGAAGGATCGCCGGAGCCCAGCAGGTCGAGGCTGCGGTGGCCGGGAGCGGCCACTGCACTCTGGTCTGGGTGACAGAGTGAGACTCCAACTCAAAAAAAAAAAGAATTTAGTCTCTTACTGTGCTACCTTTGACTTTTCCTCCCAAATCAAGTAGGAAAAAGTGCTGCAAGTGTGCAGAAGTGATAAATAACTCTAGTTGACAGGGAAAAGTCCTGTTTTGAGTCTATTTCCTTGTGCGTGCAACTTTGATAAAATGCTGTCTCTCAACCTTTCTGTTTCACTTACTCTTTAAGAAGGCATTCTGACAGTTTTACTAATTCTTGTAGAGTGTTTGGTTGGGAAGAGTACATATACCCTTGTTAAGTGAGGGCACATTTCAAAAGTGGCTTAAGTAAGTTTCTTGGTATAAAAATGAACTTACAGAATAAAAGACTTGTGTAGCAAAACTGGATATTTTCCCACTTTTATTTATTCACCTCATTGTCTCTGTCCTAACTTAGCTTCTTACCAGTAGAGGTCTGCGTTCCAGGAGGCACCAGGCCGTTAGTGTCTTATTTATTTCCAGATTGTACACTTATGAGTTAATGACCCAGGATGACCTGTTAGTAGGCTTGTTTCCACCCTCTAAAAGTGCTTTGATTTGGAATCTTCTATGCATCAATAAAGAATGTGTTTCTTGTTGAAATTCTATTATTATTAAAATTATAACTCTTTTTCATTAAGATTTCCCACAAAGCATTGGAGATTGGACAGCCTTTTATAGAAGTGTTTGGCTTACTTCTTTGGAAAAACTGACAGTGGTTTTCTCATACGTACTCTGGTTGAACTCATACAGTGATTCTGTAGAAAAATAGAGCTTTTCCACTTTAGGGGGATAAAGATCTTTCCACTTGTTTTATCATTTAATCAGTAGTCTTGATGTAGGCAATACATTGATTTTCCCCTGAGCAGAAAAGGCATACCCAGAAGAGGCTTCAGTAAGCACCCAGAGATTGGTGTGAGGATTTGAAAAGTCTAGAAATCAGAGTGTGGGCTCCCATCCAGAAGAGGAGACAAGTCCCCTAGGGTAACCTAAGTCTGATTAAACACTCAGCAGTTCTTCTCCAGACCAACCCAGACCAGACCACCTACAGTTTCCTGGGCAAGGAGCTCAACAGTAACCTATAAGATTCCATAGCTGTTTCTTACAACTTTTCTGAGTTTTCTTGCGACTAACTTAAACTTCTGAGACTCTGTCCTTTGGTAAGTCTGTTTATTCATATGGCAGACAATATTATTTGAGTGATGATTCTAAAGCAGTGACAGCCTAGGCTTATTATTTATAGTCCTTACAAATAAAAAGAAAATAAATGCTTAATTTTTTCTCCCCTCTCCAAATAGAAAAGAACGCCCTATATCATTAGGGATTTTCCCATTACCTGCTGGAGACGGGTTGCTTACACCTGACACTCAGAAAGGAGGAGAGACCCCTGGTTCAGAGCAATGGAAATTTCAGGAATTAAGTCAACCACGTTCTCATACCAGCCTGAAGGTAAGCTTTATTCTGCTGAAATTGTCAATTTACATTTTATAAGCTTCCTTATCCTAATTGATGTCCTAGACAACCAGAACATAATAAAATGTAATCATCTATGTATATTTTAGTTTGTAAAATTACTGTCTTTTTGAGTCGGAGTCTTACTCTGTTGCCCAGGCTGGAGTGCAGTGGCATGCTCACGGCCACTGTAGCCTCAACCCACTGGGCTCAGGCAATCCTTCTGCTTCAGCCTTCCAAGTAACTGGAACCACAGGCATGTACCATCATGCCCGACTAATTTTTCTTGATTTATTGTAGAGACGAGGTCTCGCCAGGTTACCCAGGCTGATCTTGAACCCATGGGATCAGGCAATCCTCTTGCCTCCCAAAGTGTTGGAATTATTGGCATGAGCACCTGGCTTAATTACTGTCTTTAAAAAAAAAAAATGGAAATGAGCTCGTCTCAAAGAGTGTTAGTTTTTTACTATTCTGTTTCAAGTTATAGTGAAACAAAATGAAGCATTGTTACATATTGATTATTATACTAATGACAAAAATTAATTTCTATTTGATTTAAGCTAAATAATATGAGTTTAGGTTGGAGTGGTTAGCAAACCTAATTATGTCAAACTTAAAAATTACTGTTACCTGAAATCCTTGGTTCATAGTTTGAAGCTTCACAATTCAGTAGGGTTGCACTTAAAACAAGCACACATTGTAAAACTATTTCTTTTTTTTTGTTTGTTTGAGTTGGAGTCTCACTCTGTCGCACAGACTGGAGTGCAGTGGCCACTTATGGCCACTGCAGCCTCGTCCTGCTGGGCTCCGGCGATCCTTCCGCCTCAACCTTCCAAGTAGCTGGAACTATAGGCACACACTACCACGCCTGGCTAATTTTTGATTTGTTGTAGAGATGAGGTCTCGTCTAGTTGCCCAGGCAGGTCTCGAACCCGCGGGCTTAGGCAATCCACTCACCTCGGCCTCCCAAAGTGCTGGGATTACAGGCTGAGCCACCGAGCCCGGCCTGTAAAACTATTTCAAAGCAGTATATAAAAGTACATAATGTTTAGCTAAAAAGTCCCTGTGTAAATTCATTATAGACTATATTCTTGATGAAAAACTTGTCATCAAATAAGTGATAACTGTAATGAATAATATACTGTAAGAGTGGAGATATACTAATAACTTTTAAAAATATTTAAGACTATGTTCTATATCTTATAATGAAATATTCATAAAGGGAATATTGATTATAAAAGATACTTTGTTGGCCAGGCACTGTGGCTCAACCTGTAATCCTAGCACTTTGGGATGCCAAGGCGAGAGGATTGCCAGAGCTCGGGGGTTTGAGACCAGCCTGGGCAACTTGGTAAGACCTCATCTCTACGACAAATCACAAAAACTAACTGGGCATGGTGGCGTGCACCTGTCATTCCAGCCACTTGGAAGGCTGAGGTGGAAGGATCGACTGAGCCCAGCAGGTCGAGACTGCAGTGGCTGTGAGTGTGCCAGTGCATTTCAGCCAGCGCAACAAAGAGTGAGACTCCAAATCAAAATAAAAAAACCAAAAAACTTTGTTACATTATAAAATCTACTCTATCATAAAACAAACAGGCCACCCATAATGAATACAAATGAATTACTTATATTTTATTTCCTTTTCCTGCTTTTTTTTTCCTCTGTAATACTTGTCATGGTCTAAGTACTTAAAGGTAGCTCTTATGATGCTCCTAAAATACTAATCATTTACTGTATTTATTTGCCTTGTTTGTTTCTCTCCACTAAGAACATACATTTCATGAGGGTTTTTTACTGCTGTATCCCATAGCACTTACATAAGTGCCTAGCATGTTGTAGGTACTCAGAACATGTTTGTTGAATGCATTATTTTATTTTATTTATTTATTTATTTTGAGTTGGAGTCTCTCTCTGTCACCCAGACTGGAGTGCAGTGGCTGCTCCCAGCCACCGCAGCCTCGACCTGCTGGGCTCCGGCGATCCTTCCACCTCCGCCTTGAATGCATTATTTTAGATGTTAAAGAGAATCTTTTAGGATAATAGAAAGTAGAGGCATTCAGGATCATTCTATTGACCTTTGAAATGTGCTCAAAACATTAAGTGGTCAATACATATTTGATAGCTTTTCTCCCACTGAAGAGTATTTTTTAACAGGAAGTTTTCCCTTGCCTTTCCCCTTTTCTTGATCAGTTTATTACAAATTATAGTGCTCAGTGTTAGTTCACAGCAATGTACTGGGGAACTCTCTCATTCTTTACTCCCACGCTGCTGCTACTCTTGTAGCCTGCCTGGAGGCTTAATAGATTTTTCACAACACTCATCTCTCAACTGCCTACTTGCTGTGCCCCCTTTCCCAACAAAATTAAATAGGAGGGATGCTTTCAGTACATGGAACGTGTATCCCAGATGGTAACTATATTTTCATTACTACTAAAGTGCACTTTAAGAGAAGATTATTATAATTCTATTGTTCTTTAATCCAGTGACATGCTGTGACAGAACTTGACTGGCAAGTTATAAACCGATTAGCAGATTATTAACACAGACTGAAGCAGACAGTTTCTTGTGTCCTCCCTAGAGTTACTGAGGCAAGTACTCCCCAGAAAGTTTCTAAAGCAAAATCCTCTCTCTCTTCCCCTTATCTGGACATGGAGCCACTAAATGAGATAAAATCTCAATAGATACAGATTTCCAGGAATGGGATGGTACATTACAAAATGGCAAAAGTTCAGTTTGTAAAGTATGTTTACTGATAAGGATGTGTAGTATTTTATTATTCACCTAAACCTTTGTCATTAGCCAGATATCTTTCTCTAACCTTATGAGGTCTGGGAATCGGGTTGAGGGCTCACTCATGGCCTATGCCACAGGCATGTCACATGCCCTTTCATCTTGATTTCCATGTGTGACAGGCATTAGACTAGACTATCTCTTATTTATTTATTTATTCATTCATTCATTGAGTAGGAATTAGGCTGGAGTGCAGTGGCACAATCACAGCTTACCACAGCCTCCACCTCTGGGGTTCAGGTGATCCTCTGCCTCAGCCTCCTGAGCATCTGGGACTACAGGCATGCACCACACCCAGCTAATTTTTTTTAATGTTTGTAGAGATGAGGTCTCGCTATTGTTTTCCAGGCTGGTCTTGAACTTCTGGGCTCAGGTGATCCTCCTGCCTCATCTGCCAAAGTGCTGGGACTACAGGTATGAGCCACCATGCCCCAGTCAGATGATCTCTAATTTAAAATACCCTTTCTGGCCAGGTGTGGTGGCTCAAGCCTGTAATCCCAGCACTTTGGAGGGCTAACGCGAGAGGATTGCCTGAACTCGTGGGTTTGAGACCAGCCTGGGCAACATGGTGAGACCTTGTTTCTACAATAAATTAAAAAAATTAGCCGGATGTAGTAGCACATGCCTGTATTTCCAGCTACTTGGAAGGCTGAGGTGGAAGGATTGCCTGAGCCCAGCAGGTCAAGGCTGCAGTGTCCGGTAGCGTACCACTACACTCCAGCCTGGGCAACATAGTGAGACTTCATTTCAAAAATAAATAAAATACCCTTTCTCCTGAGAACTTTGGGGAGGACCTAGCCATATTTAGGGCATGCTTTGACTTCATTAAGAAAAAAATTGAAGGTGTGAATTATAATTGACATGAATTTTTACCAGCATAATTTTTCTGTGTGGTAAGCTTAAGATAAAAATGTTTTGTGAGAAAACCACATGATGGATTATAACCAGGGAAGCAGAGAACATTAGAAAACTTTGTGGCAGAGGAATAAGATAAGAGAATTTGCCAGTGATTGTGAAGTTATGGCCCTTCTTTGCTGTTGTATTGCAGATTTCTCACTGTGAAAGACCTGTGGTCAGTGAGGTTATAATAACCCAGTATATTTTCTAGAAATGATGCACTTAGAAAAATGTACTACAAGTTTTTTTTTTTTTTTGAGTCAGTTACTCTGTCACCCATGCTGGAATGCAGTGGCATACTCGTGACTACTGCAGCCTCAACCTGCTGAGCTCAGGTGATCCTTCTGCCTCAGCCTTCCAAGTAGTTGGTACTATAGGCATGCACTACCATACCTGGCTAATTTTTAAATTTTATTATGGAGACAGGGTCTCACCAAGTTGCCCAGGCTGGTCTCGATCCCTTGGGTTCAGGAATCTTCTCACCTCCACCTCCCAAAGTGCTAGGATTACAGTGTGAACCACTATGCCTGACAAAGAAAAATGTACTCCAAGTTCTTAAAAATAAGTGTTTGTACATGTTATTTCTTGACTTACCTTATTCATGTGGTGATCAACAAACAAGTATAGAAATGATAGAATTTCAGATATTGTTAATGATATTAAGAAAGCAAGGTAGGAAAACCCCCTCGGGTCCCCTCCCACTGTGGGATCTTTTCTGTTTTCTCAATAAATCTGCTTTCTCACCTGAAAAAAAGAAGAAAGCAAGGTAAGCTAGAGAATAATTAGTAAGGAAGGGTGCTTATTTTAGAGTGGCAAGGAAGGGCCTTTCACAGAAGGGGCCTTTGACCCTGACATGGGGGTGTTCGGGTGGGTGAAAAGGTCTGACAGAGTTTGAAGAAGGTGAAGGAACAACTGCAAGGGTCCTGGGGTGGGTACGCAGGCAGCATATTGGAAGAACCGGGGTTTTTTCTTCATCCCACTCTTTAGACTTTCAGTCCCACCTGCTGTACCAATACGCCTTTTGTCAAGGGTGCCAAAAGCATCTATCTTTCCAAATCTCATGGAAACTTCTCAGTCTTTGTTTACCTTTTAGCAGCATCTGACATAGCTGGAGACTATTCAGCTTCTTGAGATGCTTCCTTTAGTTTGCTTCTAGGACCCACCCCCTACTCTGTGGTTTTCTTCACTGTTCCTTCTTCATTGCTGGTTTCTCCTCTGCTTTTGGATCTTTAAATGTTGGGGTATCCCAGGGCTCTTTTAGTCTGAATAGATCAAATTCCAGGTTTGTAAATGCCATTCATATGTCAGTG